TTATATAATATACATTGGACAGTTACAATAAAACATCATTTTGACAAGAAATGTATTGCCAACGACAACTACAGTTGTACTCATGCTCAAAGTCATTCTGTGCGCCAGGTCGGTGGCAGAGCGAGGATCTGTCATGTACTTTGTGGTGTCTGACATGGGAGAAGTGGACCCCATGTACCAGTTCTCGCTCAAGTACTTTAAACAGGTCAGTAGAGGACACTCTCGCAAGTACAAGTACTTTAAACAGGTCAGTATCTCACACTCTAGCTCAGGTACTTTAAACAGGTCAGTACCTCACACTCTGCCAAGTACTTTAAACAGGTCAGTAGCGCACACTCTCACCAGTACAAGTACTTTAAACAGGTCAGTATCATACCCTCTCGTAATTACTTTAAACAGGTCAGTAGCGCACACTCATGTAATTACTTTTAACAGGTCAGTAGCGCACACTCTCGCAAGTACTTTAAACAGGTCAGTATCACACCCTCTCGTAATTACTTTAAACAGGTCAGTAGCGCACACTCATGTAATTACTTTAAACAGGTCAGTAGCGCACACTCTCGCAAGTACTTTAAACTGGTCAGTATCACACCCTCTCGTAATTACTTTAAACAGGTCAGTAGCGCACACTCTCGTAATTACTTTAAACAGGTCAGTAGCGCACACTCTCGTAATGACTTTAAACAGGTCAGTAGTGCACACTCTCGTAATTACAAACGTACTTTAAACAGGTCAGTAGCGCACACTCTCGTAATTACTTTAAACAGGTCAGTATCATACCCTCTCGTAATTACTTTAAACAGGTCAGTATCTCACACTCTCGTAAGTACTTTAAACAGGTCGGTATCATACCCTCTCGTAATTACTTTAAACAGGTCAGTAGCGCGCACTCTCGTAATTACTTTAAACAGGTCGGTAGCGCACACTCTCGTAAGTACTTTAAACAGGTCAGTATCTCACACTCTCGTAAGTACTTAAACAGGTCGGTATCATACCCTATCGTAATTACTTTAAACAGGTCAGTAGCGCACACTCTCGTAATTACTTTAAACAGGTCGGTAGTGCACACTCTCGTAAGTACTTTAAACAGGTCAGTGTCGCACTCTCTTGCGAGTACATGCACTTTAAACAGGTCAGTAGTGCACACTCTCGCTAGTACATGTACTTTAAACAGGTCTCACACTCTAGCTCAAGTACTTTAAACAGGTCAGTAGTACACACTCTCGCAAGTACACGTACTTTAAACAGATCAGAAGCGCACACTCTCGTAATTACATTAAACAGATCTGTAACACACCTTCTCTCTCTCAAGTACTTTAAACAGGTCAGTATGTCACACTCTAGCTCAGGTACTTTAAACAGGTAAGAGTGAATGGTTGGCGGGTGCTCTGATGTAGTTACGCCTCTTCTATCAAACATCTATTGTCCTTATCTCTGCGAATTCTTTTCTCTGCATGGTACTCTCTAGTAACACATCTAATCTTCGGCGGTTAAAGACTTTATGATGTTACAAGTTCGGCTGATTTTTTTACTAAAGCAATACAACAAAACAAAATAATATAAAGCAAAGCAAGGCAAAACAAAACACTTGTTGTTTGTCGCCAACTGTTCTGGTTGTAACACTAGTTGTCTGTCGCAAGTCGTTCTACTTGTGACACGAGTTGTCTGTCGCAAGCTATTCTGGTTGTCTGTGGCAAACTGATCTGCTTGTGTCGCTCGTTGTCTATCGAAAAAACTGATCTGCTTGTTACACACGCGTTGTCTGTCGCCAGCTGTTCAACAAGACGATCGAGAACAGCGAGAAGTCGGAGGACCTGCCCACGAGACTTCAGACCTGTCTGGACGAGACTACCATCTGTATCTACGAGAACGTCGCTCGGTGAGGGGGGGGGGGATGCCATAGGGGTTGTTGGTGGGTGGTGGGCAACACGAGGGTTGTTGGTGGGTGGTGGGCGTTGTTGGTGGGTGGTGGGCGTTGTTGGTGGGTGATGGGTGTTGTTGGTGGGTGATGGGCGTTGTTGGTGGGTGATGGGCGTTGTTGGTGGGTGATGGGCGTTGTTGATGCGCTCTGAGATGGTGGGTTGGATGTGGGCATAGTTGGTGTGTGGTGGGTGGCGTGATTTTTGGTGGGCAGTGGGATTTTTGGTAGCAGGTGGGCGTTGTTGGTGGGTGGTGGGTGTTGTTGGTGGGTGGTGGGTGTTGTTGGTGGGTGGTGGGCGTTGTTGGTGGGTGGTGGGTGTTGTTGGTGGGTGGTGGACGTTGTTGGTGGGTGATGAGAGTTGTTGGTGGGTAATGGGAGTTGTTGGTGGGTGATGGGAGTTGTTGGTGGGTGACGGGCGTTGGTTTAGATGTTACAGTTGCCTTGATTGGGCGATGGGGTTGTGGGTTGACGGTAGAATCGCTGAAGGATGGACACCATGATAAGAGGGGTTTTTTATGTAAGTGTTTTGACGCCCCATCGACACAGTCTAGATCATGTAAGAGGTTGGCTTTGACCTGGCCTGTTAGGATCACCCATGGCTGAGAGGATACAACATCCGAGCAGAAAGACCGAATTACTCAATGGAAACGCTTCCCTTTTAGAAATCAAACTCGGGTCTCCTGCTTGCGACTGCGAAGCGCCTAACCGCTACAAAACTACATCAGGGATGCTTATACCATAGGTTCATTTTTGGAGGACACTCTGTTTCCCTCTGCCCTCTGCTCCTTCGTCTTGTCATTGTCTGTACTCCTCGTATTGCCTTCATCTGTCCCAGATGAAACATGTATGAATACTGTGACTCAACGATAACTGCAGAAATAAAACAAAAATGTTAATAACCACAACAACAACAACAACAACAACAATACAACAACAACAACAACAACAACAACAACAATAACAATGATAACAACAGCAACGACAATAACAACAATAACAACAACAACAACAACAACAATAACAACAATAACAACAACAACAACAACAATAACAATAATAACAACAGCACCGGCAATAACAACAACAACAACAACAACAACAATAACAACAACAATAACAACAACAACAACAAAACGGGACCGCAGATAGATACAACAGATACATTACTGACTCCGTTGTCGCCTAAACCTGTCGACCACATACAAAATATTGCTACAACAACAACAACAACAACAACAACAACAACAACAACAACAACAGCAACAACAACCTTTAAAAATCGTCAAATCTTCTTTTGGACGACCGAGAAGTTGAAATTATTTCATCTCTCTCTCTCTCTCTCTCTCTCTCTCTCTCTCTCTCTCTCTCTC